ACAGTCCAGTCCAATCCCTGTCTGAAGAGTTGGCCTCGGAAATTGTTTTAGTTCTGGGCTGATAGAGAATCCAGGGGCCATGCTTTCCAGGGTTCTTCCAGTCTCAGACCATTCAGTCTGGTCTTATTACTAGAATTGGAGTTCTGCACCCCACATTTCTTCTGCTTCATCAGGGACTCTGTTGTGTTCCTTGTCAGGGTGGTCATTGGTGATAGCCAGGCCGCATCTAGTTCTAACGATCTCAGGCTGATGAATTCTCTGGTTTATGTGGCCCTTTCTGTCTCTTGGGCTAATACTTTCCTTGTGTCTTTGGTGTTCTTCATTGTCCTTTACTCCACATGGCTGGGACCAATTGATGCATCTTAGATGGCCGCTTGCAAGCATTTAAGACCCCAGATGCCACTCACCGAGGTAAGATGCAGAACATTTTCTTGGTAAGCTTTGTTATGCCAATTGATCTAAATGTCCCCTGAAAACATGGTCCCCAGAACCTTACCCCTGCTACTCTGTCCCTCAAAGTGTTTGATTTTATTCAGGAAACTTCTTAGCTTTCGTTTAGTCCAGTTGTGCTGACTTCCCCTGTAGTGTGTGCTGTCCTTTCCTTCACCTAAGATAATTCTTATCTACTATCTAGTTAGTAAATAACCTTCATCCTCCCTCCCCACCCTCATAACCATCAAAGAATGTTTTTTCTGCATTTAAACCTTTTCTTGAGTTCATATAATAGTGGTCTTATACAATATTTGTCCTTCTGTGACTGACTAAATTCATTCAACATAATGCCTTCCAGATTCCTCCATGTTATGTTTCACAGCTTCATCATTGTTCCTTATCGTTGTGTAGTATGCCATTGTACACCTGCTAATTTTTTAACTATATATTCCAGTACAGAAATTCTGGTTGCTTCATTTCAAATCTACGGTGTCATGTGTTATTGTTTCCAGTTTCTGCCTTTTATTCTTGTGACCATGGAAAGCATAGGACAGAGTAGAACTGCCCCATAGGGTTTCCTTGTAGTGCCTGGTGAATTCAAACTGCCAACCGTTTGGTTAGCAGCCGAACTCTTAACCACTACACTATCAAGGTTTCTGTGGAAAGCACAGGTGTTTTATATTTCTGTGTGTGTTTCTTTTGTCTATGCTGGTTCATTTCTGGTGTGCCTGACAATTTGTTGTTCTGTGATAGACATATTCATTAGCTTTTCTTAATTTTTTTTAAACAGTTTTTAATATATACTAAATAAACACAATAATCACTTATATTTGTTGTCAAGGATCAACAACTATCACTAACTTAGATGTGTTAATTAAAGACATAATTGAAGATATAATTTTTCTTCTTCCAAAGAGGTTGTTTGCTTTGCTTTGCTTTGCTAGGTATCTGGAGTTGCTACCAATTTCAGAAACCTTAAGACATTCAGAGCTTGAGATTCCCATTTGGATGACTCATAGCCAGGCTGCAAATTCCTTGTGTCATCTTGATAAGCTTCCACTTTTCAGAAGCCTGAGGTCCAACTTATGTCTCTACATCCATACCTTGCTTATGTATTTTTCTCACTGAATCAGTCTCCTTTTGTTAATGTTCATCTCAAATGCTTGACTCCTCTAATTCCATGTTCTTCTTAATTGTGTCTAGCAGTTGCTTAGTATCTTATTTCTTTAATTCATTTAGGATGACGTATCTTATTTCATCCAACTTTTTAGGTGTCTTCACTGGAACACTAGGTCAAAACTACTTAAATAGGAAGTCTCATTTGTCCTTTGAACATTTTTTAAAATTTAGTATACCTATTTATAGTTATATCATTATTAGTGTCTCTATAGATAGAGGTATGTTGTCTGCTTTCCGATTTCAAGTCATAGCACTCTATAGAACAGAGTAGAACTGCCCCATAGGCAGTATACAAGGCTGTAACCTTTCAAGAAGCCAGACTACCACATCTTTCTCCTGAGGAGCAGCTTGTGGGTTTGAATTGCAGACATTTGGTTAGCAGCGGAGCTCTTTACCATTGTGCCACCAGGACTCCTTCAAGCAGATAAATATACACATATGTATACAACTGTATCTACATATATAAACTTGTAAGATATGAAGAAATCTACCAAATTGTGTAATTGGGGAGATCAAACATGTATTTCAAAAGGAAGAGTCAAAATTGAAGTAGTGCACATCTGCACTATTACACCTACCCTGTGTCCCTCCCCAGGAATGCACACTCTTGTCCTTCCTGCCCTCTGCCCGTGAGGTCCTCCAGAGCAGTGCTCACCACTTTACTCTGGCTGTATTTCTCTAGGATTTCTGGGACTCAAGCCTGTGCTGCGCTCCTACGCTCCTCTCTCTGAGGTCTGCTTAGTCCAAGTACACGCTTTGCCCAGCTTGTCACTCCTTCTAGACTTGTCTTAATCTGAATCCTCTGTTTTGCTCCCATCCTGGGCTTCTTGGTAATTATGAATAAAGTTGCTGCCACTTGTGGTCATCTCAAAATAGTGAGTATGTTGTTGATGGTACATGAATCCCCACCTTCTTGTGGTCCCTGGTTCAAGTCTTTCCTAATTTGCTTCTCAGCTTGATTTTCCAAGCCTTCACTTTATGTCCAGAGTTCCAAGATCTCTGGTTTCACAGGTTCTTACTATTGTTCTTTGTCATTGTTGTGGGGGATTCTGAGGGTGCTAATATCTGTGCCACCATTTTGTGCAACCTTCTGACTTCTTCGATCCTGCAGAAAGATTCTAGAAGAAATGGAAAGGTAAGGGGATAAAAGGCTTCTTTTTGCCAAAGTGTTTTCATGGTACACATTCC